CAGAATATAACTCAATTTTTTAAMTCATATTATTTCAGATTAAAATGCTTTAAAGAAACAACAATTTGAGGATTTTTGTTCTGTTCAGGGCAAAATATCCCAAGATATGTCAAGATAGCCTGTAACATACAAAACTCTGCACGAAATTGTTTCTAATCAAGGTCAAAAACTATCCCAAAATACACTCGGCTCCAAAAAAGAAACACATCGCACTTTTACTTACTCAACTGATGTTGTTCATCCCATTCATCGTGTTTTTTCTGTTTTTGTTCTTGCAGTCTTTCATACAAGGTCTTATTATCATGAACTGGCTCAGGGCACTCTACCAATTGGAAATAAATTGAAAACCTGGTGTTTATTTTTTTTTCTCCTTATTTATTTTAAATATTTACCACAAAATACAAATAATATTTTCACCACAAAATGCAAATAACGATTAAAACATGACAGTCACACAAAAAACAAATAAAAGTGGCGAGGAAGCCCAAAGAGAAACCATGGGGCTTACATAGATATTGGGCTCCCTCAGAGTTTTGTGCCAAGCAGTGCAGGTTCAAAGTTGTGATTCGGAAATTTCTGCATAAATGGAACCCATTTCCCCAGTAAACACAGTTATCATGCAATCAGAAAGTTTGGTCTAGGGGCAATGAGGCAATTAGTTACAAGTGCAAAGATTGCAGCAAGCAAAGCTCACAGTACACTCAGATCCACTCATTTCATACAATACTAGCACAAAAATTAATAGCAGCTAAATAATTCACCCCTTACAAATTAAAAAAGCAACCATTCACATAAAACAATTGATACCGAGAAACTGCCATAATGTTTACTGTAAATTGTTGACGCTATTATTACAATTTTTTGTAGATGTTAAATTATGTGCTTAGAACAAACGAAAAATTCAACCAAAAAGGTAACTAAAGAACATTATGTTAACATTTTTGGTTATCGACAGCAAAATACCACCCGTTTTTATTTGACTACGAGGAGACCCTGGGGCGAGAGAGTAAAACCAACACTCAGATGGACTGTACATATAATGTTGTACCTGTCTGGTTAAGTATTCGAATAAAAACCTTAAAGGATAACCATAATGAAAAGATGATTAGGCCCCGAATAATTCATTTTCGTAATGAAAATATCGCGCCAGATTATCTCGTCCTGCACTAGGAAATGTTGGACTATTTTATTAGGCTTACCTATTGGATCACTTTCCTTTCTAACTTTCTCCCACTCTTCTTGTTTCTTTTTCCGTACATCCTCTATTTCGGTCTCTGATACAAACGAGACACCACTCATGTTTAAAAATTACCTACGAGGCGTAAAACATTCTCTTTAAGTTCTTTGTTTATAGCCAAACTGCTTCACCGGACACTCTGTGGACCTTTCTCTCCATCTCTCGCAGGTTAACGATCACGAGCCCGCGAGCATTGTTGACATGGATACAAAATGGCGGACAGAATTTTATTGAACGCGACTAAAGGAAAACCTAAATCTCTCAGCATTTGTAACAAAAACTTACAGAATGTTCCACGAATCATTGGAAAGATAACTTCCCTTAAGGCCGTAGACCTGAAAAACAATAGCTTAACGGACCTTCCAGACGAATTTTCCTCACTTAAACAGGTGACATCTTTACCAAGTCGTGCATGTTTACGCTCAAGTTCAACTGAAAGTTCACTAAAACCAATTT